GTTAAGCTCGTGCAAAAATACCTCGTCCATTCTTTCTGGAAGGGAAAAAAAAGTACCCCCCATCATAGTGAACCTCTCCTTGTGATCGGGATGAGGTAGATGCCTCCCAGTCGGGGGGCCATTTTTTATTGTATCGAATCTATTTTATGTTTTAAAGTGAACAATAATTTTATAAAACTTTTACTTTCATATTAACTAATTAGATTCCGTAATAGGTTCACTCGTATAATATCTTGAATAAATGAGAACAAAAAGTTCCCATATGATCACTCAAAAACACCAGAATTTGAAGGGATTAGGTCCCCACTACCGGCCCAAGAAATAAGAACGGGTAGAGCAAAACTCATGCCTTTATGTTTGATAAAATGACCACTAGATATAATTTGATCATTATGAACAAATCAAAAATCCTTGTAGACAAAGCCAATAATCGGTTCCCAACCATGAGTCAATTTTATTATAAAGCCGTATGCAATGCATGAAAGATGCTTGTACGGTTGTTCGATTCTATCTTTTTTTCTTGTTATTCTTTTATCATTTAATCAACTCATAAATGCATTTAATTAATTTATTCTTCTTTTAATTAGAAAATCTTAATTTCCAAATTCACAATTTCTCAAATAGAACATTATTTGATTTTTTACAATACTTCTAATGATTTTAATGGTCAAAATAGGAGCCACATAAAAGTTCTTTGACAATACTTCCAATGATTTTTTACAACACTTCTAATGATTTTATTTTTGTTTTTAGTTCTTAATGTCGATGTGTCACATTGTGTCCTCAAGATGATCACAATGTGTATTTAAGTCCTCAAATAATATTTTTAGGGATCTTTAGTTTTTTGTTCTTAATGTGGTTGTGTCATATTGTATTCACAAGGTGATCACAATATGTAAAAGGAATAGGGGATCATAATGTGTAAAAGGAATAGGTGATCACAAATATATTGTTTCACACATTGTGTTCACAAGGTAATCACAATGTGTGAATGAAATAGGTGATCACAATATGTGAAACAATATATTTGATAGTGGTTCACGTTGTGATACTCTAGATTTTTGGTTTTGGGTTTAGCCAAGATGTTTGACGGGTGTTCATACATGATTATTAATTTTGTTCAGAGTGTGTATCAAAGTCCTCACAAAATGTTCTTAGTGATATGTAGTTTCTTGGTCTTATGTTTTTGGTGTTTTTGAGTTCACATTATGTCAATTGTGGTCACGGTGGGTTACTTGGTAATACTTATTAGGTTACTAGATGTTCACAATGTGTTAGATTACTTGTTAGGTTTACTTTAGTTTTTTTAATAGATTTTTTTTGTTAATGAGAGGAAAGAGAGAGAGGAGAGATGAGAGAGAAAATTTGTAAATTATCCACAATAATCTTTAAATTAAAATTTTAATTCAAAATTATTAAAATTATTAATTTTGAAACTTAATTTGTGGTTTATATTGGATTTTACAGATAAATAGGAACCACATAAAAGTAAAGGAGGTGTAAATTGAAATGAAAATATAAGTTAAGGGGTTGATGGGCATTTTCTTCAAACCCTTTCTAATTGCCTTATATATGGACAAAAACATCAGGGGCGAGTCTCTTTTCTTCCTTCTCCATCCTTCATCATGACCTTCTAATTTAACTTAAATGAGTTCCCTAATAGGTATGATTAAGTCGATCAAGGAGTTTAGCATACAAAATCCAAAAGAAAATGGTAAAGATAGGCGGAGGGTGAAGAAGAAGATCAAAAATCAAGATCTAGGGTTCTTAGTCATATAAGTAATTTAGGAAGGACCTTGGTCATGTGATTAGGTTTGCACATTAGGTGCCTAAATAAACCTTGTGGTAGATTTGATACAGGAAAGGTGTCATCACTTGGTTTTGCTTGTTATTTGGGTTGTTTGTCTTTATATGGAGAATGTATTCTTTCAAAAATGTATGAGAAAATATATACACCTTTTTCCATCTGCTAAGTTTTATCCGGTTTCTGTTAACTAGATCTTCCATCTCGAAGATCATTCTTCCATTGATTTTCCTTCTGAATTCGATCAGCCATCAGCTAATTCATTTGCAACAACAAACCAGATATACCAGACAAAAGGTAGCTAAATTCTGAAATCGCTCTAGTATTTTCAGCAACTTTCAAACTCTGTTGGTGATGATTGGACTCGATTCGATTACCAAAATAAAAAATAACAGTTTTAAGCATTACCTTGAAATCAAAAGCAGTTCCCGAATCTAGAGGACAATTTTTATAATTGATAGATGAAGCGTCAGCGAAGCTGATTGGTTCTTGTCCCTAATTCAACGCTCCTTGATTTCTATATCTTTGCCATAGCTCGTGTGATTGCAATTATCAGAGTTCCCAAAGCCGAATAGCTCTTATGTCAATGATAAGCTCCAAATTCAATCAATGTCAGTATTACCCAACAAATGATTGGAGCTCTAAATCAGGAAAATCAATGGAAGAATGATCTTCAAGATGGAAGAGCTTGTTAACAGAAACCCGAAGAAATTTAGCAGATGCAAAAAGGTATATATATTTTCTTATACCTTTTCCAGAGAACAAATTTCCATACAAGGACAAACAATCCAAATAACAAACTAAACTAGATGATGACACCCGCCTTTTATTAAATCTACCACAAGGTTTGTTTAGGTACCTAATGTGGATATCTGACCATATGACCAAGGTCCTCCCTAAATTACTTATATCACTTAGCCAGCGATGCAACTACTTCAGGTAAGGATCTACGGTGAATTAGTGATTTTATTATTCAATATATGTGATTAAGAATCGATTGAAGATGTTTAATGTTTCTTTGTTGCATTAGAAACCTTATCACAAGTAAGAATCAAACTCTGTGTTGAAATTTGGGTAAATAGCAAATGTTGTTAAGAATGTCTTGTAATAGGACTTGTATTGAGAAGAAGCCTCACAAGGCACAAATTCGATGAGAAAACATTCTTGAATGTTGTTGTTATATAAAGTATTTCATTAGGACATCATGTTATGAAAGGTTAAATGGTTGTTTTGGTGTGTTGTGTGTGGGATTCCATAATAAGATATAAAATAAAAACCATTATGTAATGAGTTTATTAGCTTTAGATTCATTTATGGGGTGTAATTAAAAAGATGAAGTTTTGAAATCATAGAGATTTGATTGCTTCAAAAGTCAAACAATGTTGATGGAGTTTAAGGCATTGAAATCGATATGAAATGGTGAATATACCGGATGTTGTTTGTTCCATAGTAGCATTAAGGTGATATTAGATGGATTCAAGCAGGACATTTCCTCATTTTTTATGGTAGATAAAAGGTTATATTCAAAACAGTTGATTTTTTCAAAAAAAGTCAAACTCTTTTGCTTAAATCGTAGATTTAATGGTTTTATGCGAAATTAAAGGTTTAAATTCAAGGGATATAGTTAATATAGATATATAAAGGTGTTTCAATGATCAAAGCACCATCTCATAAGGATTATGATGGATTACGTTCGGCTTAAATCATTGTGGAAAACGTATGTATGAGCTAGAGTTTAAGTGACATATGAATAAATGAACTTTCTAAAAATAATTTAAAATGGATATAAACCGTCTAGAAGAATAAAATGTATATAAACTATGTTTAGAAGAATAGAATGAAACCAATAGTTTTGATAGAAATAAGAGCAAGTGATCTGATCAAGTCAAATTGGTGTTCAAAATTGTAAAAATCATAGAAAATCACTTGTAAATCAGATTAAGACGTATAATACCTTTCTAAACACCTTAGGATGTCTATTACAAACCACTTTTAGATGAATATGGTGTTAATCGAATCCTGAATATTCATATATAGTGTGTATATTGATATAGACCACATATGGATTGAAATAGTGAAAATCAAACTCACAAACCTTAAATATAACAAAGATGGAGGTCCCATTTCATATATTGGAAGAGAGTTTCCCTTATTTGTGTGGTCTGTTCTAGTGACAACATTCTAATATATAAGGCTCTTAATATAGAGTAGACATTATTATTTTACTATATTTTGGTACAACTTGTTATATTTTAACCCTATTTTTGGTATTCTTTGACCCCATTTTTCTATGCATCTATTTATGCTTTGTGTACATTTTATTGTATGTTTTGGAAAAATTAGTGGAAATGATATTATTTTCGTTTTGTAAATGTATGGATCTATTTGTTCAAAAAATGTTTATAATTTAATCATTTAAAATATGAAAGTGTATTGGGTTTTCTCGAACTTTTCCTATTATTTTATAAATTTAACTTACAGGTGATAAAGATGGATTTAACAGATTTTAAAATATCTAATGATTTATTTGTTCAAAAAAATTGTCTAAATACTTATTCGATCAAAATATAATTTTCATTAAGTTTTTCTAATACTTTTCTTAATTAGAATGTGTTAGAAAGTGGATGAGAGATATTTTGGTAATAAAAAATAAAAAATTATAATCATAAAGGTGATGTTTGATTGGTTTGAACTTGGACTTTTATGTTAAAAGTGTTTGGAGGTCCCAGGTTCAAATCCAAGAAGGAATAAAAATCCCTTTGTGGCCATATAGATTCAAATGCGATGACTCTGGCTACCCACTCATCATAAAATTAATCGGCTCGTATAACGAGTTAGATATCCATGTTAATAAATAAAATAAAATAATAAATTACATAAATGTCCCAATGGTCTACTGATAATATCCGTTTATTTCATATAATATAATAATCGTAATCCCAATTATTCCTGGGCACCAAAAACATCTCCCTTGAACTTTGACGTCCAAGATATTATCATACACAGCATAAACCAAATTCCATCACATGACTTTGTTACACAATATCAACCTTTTATTAACTGAACTACTTGATGCATTCTCAAACCATAATGAAGATCAATCTTGTTTCACCTTTGCAGTTCAAATTGTTGGAGATGAAGACATGAAGTAATCTTCATCTCCATTGAAACAGAAACACAACACACAGCAACTTATGCAAACTGAAAATATTCTGTCAAATTGTTCGTAACTACCAGACGATACAAGACAATCATATATACAAAATGAAACGGTGCCAAGAATAGACACAACTCTTGGAACCGACACATAAAACCAACTTGTAACTGCTAT